GGCCAGCTCAGCCCACCAGGGGGCGGGGCTGGCTGGCATGTGGTGCTGGGGGATTGAACCGTGGTCCCTGTGCTTTGTTTAGCTTAGCTTGTTCTAAGTAGGTGCTTTAGACCACTGAGCCATCTCACCAGCCCAAAATGGAATAAGGACTTTTTTGTTGTTGTTCCTCGAATGCCTTCAGGGCACTTTTGGCCAGCCTGAGACTTGTGAGGTTCGAACTCCAGCAACCTGAGGCTGACAGCTTTGTGGAAGCAGCCACTTAAAGGACTGAGCTAGGGCCAGGCCCCCTGAATCCAGTTTTGTCTTTTTACGTGACTATATAGTAATTTCAGCTGATTTGTTTTGTTTTGTTTATTTATTTATTTATTTATTTATTTATTTATCTTTCTGTTAGAACTGGGGATTGAACTCAGGCCCTTGCGCTTGCTAGGCAAGCACTTATTCTACTGAGCCATCTCCCCGGCCCCTTCAGCCAATTTAAAAATCCAATCAGTAGTCACTATCTGTAAAAATACTAGTTTTCTCTACCACCTTTTTCTAATTCTATATTTTCTCAGTGTTCTATTTTAGATTTTCTATTGTATATATTGTTCATTCTATTTATCATGCATTTGCTTATTTTAAAGTAAGGCCAATATTCTCCACATTGCTCTTTTTCACAATTTTTTCCCTTATTATTCTTCTTCTAAATAACTACTTTTGTGGTCACAAAGTTAAAAATACAGCATTGTCTTATGAAAACTAATTTTGTAGTTCCAGAATTTCTTATGTTTTCATTATGAAGTATTAAGACAATTTAAGTAGGGATCAAATCTGGTAAATTTTACAGAAAACCTGAGTGAAGAAATTCAAACATTGGGGCCAGGGAGATGGCTCAGTTGAATAATCGCTTGCCTAGCAAGTGCAAGAGCCTGAGTTCAATCCCTAGTTCCACAAAAACAAAACAAAAAAGAAATTCAAACATAATTATATACTTCAAGTTGCTCGTGGGTCTACTAACAACGTTAAGAGGGATTTCAAACAAATAAAAAGATCTGGGGGGTTGGGAGATAGCTCGGCGGTATAAGCACCTGCCTGGCAAGCACAAGGACCCAGGTTCGATCCCCTGTCCTGTATGCTATGCCAGCCCTGGAATCCCGGCACTGGGGAGGCTGAGACAGGAGGATCAGTAAGAGTCTGAACTGTGTAGTGAAACTCTGTATCAGATAGATAGATAGATAGATAGATAGGCCCAAGTGTGGTGACACATGCCTGTAATCCCAGCACTCTGAGAGGCTGAGGCAGGAGGATTGCCTGAGTTCAGTCAAGGCCAGCATGTACTACATAGTGAGACCTTGCCTCAAAACAAACAAAACCCAAAAAACCCCAAATCATTTAATTCTGGAATATTTTTATTTAGTGTTTTTTGGGCCATAGGTAATTAGAAACTACAGAAAACAAGACTGCAGATTAGGGAGAACTGCTATAAATGTAATTGAGCATTACTAAGTAACAACAATACATAAGGGGCCGGGGAGATGGCTCAGTGGAATAAGCGCTTCCCTGGCAAGCGCAAGGACCTGAGTTCAATCCCTGGTTCCACAAAAAAACCATAAAATATCTAGGTGCATTTTTAGTGAGGTTCCAAAGTATTAAGTGTCTTTCTTTTTCCCTTTCTCTCCTTTTCCTTTCCTCCTCCCTCCTCCCTTCTTCCCTTCTCCCCTAAAAGTATTGTAGGTTTGTAATGTGTTTGGGTGATAGAATGACGTTACTTTCTATGTGCTGGGTCAATTTTAGGCTGATACGTTCCTGTCAGTAAGCTTATTTAGAGTCCTTTCTATAGTACTAGTGTTTGATAGCAAAAACAAGACCTCCTTTCACGTTTCATTTCTCATATGCTGATAAAAGATATAGAATTATTAATAAGGGAAGATGAATGTCATTTTTAAGATATTGCTTATGAGATTTGTTTTCTTTTTTATTTTTGTTTTATAAAATTATAGCTGGGCATAGTTTTGTGTGCCTATAACCTCAGCACTGGGAAGGCTGAGGAAGGAGGATCATCCTGAGTCCAAGGCCAGCCTGGGCTACATAGTGAGTTCAAGGCCAGCCTGAACTACATGGTGAGAGCCTGTCTCAATGTAAATGAATAAAATTTTTAAAAAATTATGTACACATATCAATACCTTGGGAAAGCCCTTTTTCATCATCAATCAGTTACCAATGATTACAGACATTCTTTGACACCAATTGTAACATTATATAGTAACAGATATGTTCTAGGTCAAAGTGACACAGATTCTGCTCTGAAGGATGATTTTCCTTCTAGTTAGGAAATACACTAAAAAACTCAAAAACAGTACCACTGCCAAATAAGTAAAAAGTCACATCTGTACAATTTTTTTAAATGTATTTAGTACAGGGTCTGCAGGGTCTCATTACATAGATTGGACTCATAATGATCCTCCTATTTTCAGCCTTCCAAGCACTGGAATTACAGGTGTGCGCCACCATGCCCATTCTCATTCACTGTCTCAACTTGCCACAGGGATTGAATCTTGGTCCCTGCGTCTGCCTAAACAGGTGCTTTAATCTGCTGAGCTATCTGGCTGACCCTGTACAATTTTTTAAGACCACTGGGTGCCAGGTTGACTTTGAGCTCAGGTTTATTTATTTATTTTTAATCTTTTTATTCATGTATTTGGTACAGGGTATCACTATGCAGCTCAGACTTGTAGTAATTCTCTTATCTCAGCCTCCCCAGCACTGGGTTGACAGGTGTGCACCACCATGCTGGTTATAGTGGCTGGCACAGTGCGCCCAGGGTTCTGGGGCCAGCATGGCATGCAGTACCAGGGATCAGACCTGGGTCCTTGTACTTGCCAGGCAGGTGCTTAGACTGCCGGGTTATCTCCCTGGCCTGATAATTTATTACTATTTTGAAAGTCAATCTCCAATACCAAAAAAAAGAATGAAAATTTATTATACTACCTGCTTATGGTATGGTCTGACTTTCAGTGAAGGGAGATCAAAGCTGGACTTAGAAGTTTATATTTTAAGGGTGACGAGATAGCTCAGTGGGCTAAGCACCTGCTTAGGCAAGTGCAGGGACCCAGGTTCAATCCCCAGCACCATATGCCGTGACAGCCAGGGGCACTGAGCCCCCAAGACTGGATGTGGCAACACATGCCTGTAATCCCAGTGCTAGGAAGGAAGGCTAAAACAGGAGGATCATTAGAAGTCCGAGCTGTGAAGTGAGAACCCTGTACCAAATACATTAAAAAAAAAAAAAAAAAAGTGTGTATTTTAATTGCATGTAAAACTACTGACTTGCAGTTAGGGTATAGAAAGTCTTGAATGCCAAGATGAATAGATTTTGGGGGGGGGGCAGTACGGGGGATTGAACTCAGGACCCTGCACGTTCCAGGCAAGCACTTATTCTACTGAGCTGTCTCCCCGGCCCCAATTTTATTCTTGTACATAGTAATCACTTAATGACCCTTTACTAACAAAACATTCAGCAGACTTCCTGAAGTTAATCTGTGTAAAGTAGTTGGAAATTTCAAAATATACTTTTACTAATATTATAGATACTAGGATTTCAGCATTAAAAGCAAAGGTAGGTTTTTGAAAGACCAGAATAGGTGACTTTTCTTTTGTATCAGGCAACACTGGACTACGGAATGTATTCTCGAGAAGAAGAACTATTAAGAGAAAGAAAACGCATTGGAACAGTAGGAATTGCTTCTTATGATTATCACCAAGGAAGTGGAACATTTCTGTTTCAAGCTGGTAGTGGAATTTATCACGTAAAAGACGGAGGGCCACAAGGATTTACAGTAAGTTGCTAGTTACTGTTTGTTATATCCATTTTGGGGTCCTCAGGATTGTTTGCATCTGAATCAGGATACCTAACAAATAGAAACTTCAGTATACCCACTGTCTTAATTTTCTTGTTGCTAAAACAAAATACCTGGCACCCAAAAAGGAGAAAAGATCTAGTTTAATAGCTCACAGTTTGTAAAGGTTTCAGTCCATTGTTGGTTGGCTCCAGGGCAGGGTCATTTGGCAGAGGAACATTGCAGAGCAGGCAGAAGGCAGAAAAACAGCAGAAGCAGCAGCAAGTGGCTGCAGCAGCCCTCTTTCTGTCTTTTATAGTCCATTCTGCCCTTTGGGTAGCACTCACTCAGAGGAGGGCATCCTCAGTCCCAGCATCCTTCACCCTATGTCTAGCCACCTCCACAATTCTCTACCTGTGAGCACATAAGACTTTGGGGGTACATCTAGATGCAAGTCTTCACAACCTACCAAGAAATTTAATTATAGCTGGGCTTGGTGATGCATGCCTGCAGTGCTAGGTACTTACCAGGGTAGGGTAGGACTGTTGTATGTTCAAGGTCAGTGGAGGCAATTTAGTAAGATCTTTTCTCAAAATAAAAAAGACAGGGCTTCATGCTGCCTGGACTCAACTCCCAGTACACAAAACTGAGAAGAAGGGGAAGGAAGGAAATAAATGTATTTCTAATGAAGATAAGAAATACAATATTAATTTCTAATTTTAAGTGTTAATTTTCCAATGACAAGATAAAAATTTAAAGTTTCAAAACGCTATATAGGATGATATAGTAAAGGGAATCACTTTCTATTTTCTATTTAAGTACTGAGGGAGATTGTTAAAGATGTTATCACAAGGCAATTTGTTGTTAGTTGTCTTGAAAACTAATAAATCTCAAAAATTTTTATGGTTTTAGATTTATTCTTAGCAGTCAGTTGTTTTTTGTTGTTGTTGTTGTTGTTTTTCCCATGCTGGGGATGGATAGATGGTTGGCTGGCTGGCTGGCTGGTTGGCCAGCTGACTGGTTGGTTGGTTGGGTGGGTGGGTGGGTGGGTGGGTGGGTGGTTGGAATAAGATCACACTGTGTAGTTCAGTCTAATTTTGAACTCACTTTGTAGCTCAGGCTGTCCCAGCTCAGGCTGTTCATCCTGCCTTGGCTTCCCAAGTGTTGCGATTATAGGTATGCACCACCACACCGAGGTGTGAGTGCCAAGGATTGAGCCTAAGCCCTTGGCACTGAGCTGTGTCCCCATCCTTTTTTTATTTTGCAATAGGCTTTCACTAAATTGCTAAATTGCCCAAGTTGAACTGAAACCTGTAATTCTTTTGCCTCAGCCCCCCAGAATGTTGGGGTTACAGGTGGGTATATGCCTGACCACTTAACAGTTCTATATGAAGATGTTCTTTTGATAAAATTGTGAAGAACTGATATAATTGTGATGATCCTGGCTTTTGTTATATTTTATGAGCAGGCTATTTTTATTGTAAAACTTAATCTTATTGTTTTATAAATATTCGTTAAGTAATAAAAGTTTTTAACAAATAGTAATTATTCCATTAAACAGATTAGAGCAACTTAATTGGTGTAGTTATGTCAGAATGTCATTGTTGGGCCCGGGGAGATAGCTCTGTAGAATAAGCGCTTGCCTGGCAAGCACAGGGTCCTGAGTTCAATCCCCGGTACCACAAAAAAAAAAAAAGAATGTCATTGTCTTTTGTTATATTGCCTTTATATAATGTATTTCCTGTTACTCTTAGTGTTTAAATTCATAATAAAAAATGAGTTCTTTTTAAGTTATAGCAGTTCAAAGTATGTTTTTCTGAGAGCAGTTTTTGTAGTTTACATTTTTTTTTTTTTAATTTTATTTATTTATGTGTGTGGCCAGCTCAGCCCACCAGGGGGCGGGGCTGGCTGGCATGTGGTGCTGGGGGATCGAACCGTGGTCTCTGTGCTTTGCTTAGCTTGTTCTAAGTAGGTGCTTTAGACCACTGAGCCATCTCACCAGCCCCTACATTTTTTATATAGTAATACTCATCTCAGAAAGGATACTGGCAGACAAATGTGTGAACCTGATACCTGTCTTAAAATGTTGTTTACCTTTCTAGCAACAACCGTTACAGCCCAATTTGGTGGAAACTAGTTGTCCTAACATACGAATGGATCCAAAATTATGCCCTGCTGATCCAGACTGGATTGCTTTTATACATAGCAATGATATTTGGGTATCGAACATCATAACTAGAGAAGAAAGAAGGCTCACCTATGTACACAATGGTAAGGCATGGTTCTTACAGTCTTTTCTGAAAAGTCTTTTTGAAGTTTAATTTGCTTTCCTTTTGAAATTGAAGTAACCTGAATAACCTTTGTTTTAAATTCAAGTTTTTAAAAAGTTAAAAATATAGGGGCCGGGGAGATGGCTCAGTGGAATAAGCGCTTCTCTGGCAAGCGCAAGGGCCTGAGTTCAATCCCCGGTTCCAGAAAAAAAAAAAAAAAAAGTTAAAAATATATAGAAAAGTACTGGGGTAAGTGGTCTGTGACTGTATGATGCTTCCTTGTTTTAAATTTATTTTCAAGGGGCTGTGGGGATGACTCAGTGGAATAAGCACTTTCCTGGCAAGCGCGAGGGCCTGAGTTCAATCCCCGGTTCCACAAAAAAATAAATAAATTTATTTTCAAGCCAGGTGTGGTTGTAACACATGCCTGTAATCCCAGCACTCAGGAGGCTGAGGCAGGAGGACTGCCGTGAGTTCAGGGCCAGCCTGGGCTACGTAAGCGAGTTTAAGACCAGCTTGCACTACATGGTAGGACCCTGTCTCAAAAATAAAGAAATTTAGTGATTTTCACGCAGCACCACAACATGGTGCATTGACATGATTGTTCTTTTAGACTAATAAGACTGACAGAATTTTCCCAAAATCATACCCACTGAAATAAAGTTTTGCTCTGCTTCTCTGGTCAGGCACACCCCAGTAGTTCTACTTGGCAGACTGAGGCAGGATGAGATTCAAGACCCACCTGGGCACAAGCCCTCATCTTAAAAAAAAAAAAATTAGTCTTGCTTTTGGTAAACAAACAAAATACACACTATTAGAAACTATCTGTAAATTAATATTTCTGTTTGGGACTTAGTACTGTCATAATGGGGAAAAGAATTTTGTACAACCATGTGGACAATGGAGTGTTTAATTTTTTTTTTTTTTTTTTAGCATTTAAAACCTTTTTATTGGGCTGGAGAGATGGCTTAGTGGTCTAAAGCACCTACTTGAAACAAGCTTGGCAAAGCACAGGGACCACGGTTCGATCCCCCAGCACCACATGCCAGCCAGCCCCGCCCCCTGGTGGGCTGAGCTGGCCACACACACACACACACACACACACACACACACTAAATAAATGTAATAAATAAAAATAAATAAATATTTAAAAAAATAAAAATAAATAAAAATAAAACCTTTTTATTAAAAAAATAAAATAGATATATAGTAAAGTTCACAGATATTTTCTCTGTAAAATAAAGTGTTCATTGATTAGCATCATACATAGAGTACAATACAACATATTTTACATGTTTAAATACTGTACACAGATCACCGGCCAGCAGCCTGGTGTCTGATGGGCTGGAGGGGTTTGCTTCAGTGAAGTGTCACATTGGGAAACCCCAATTTTGAATGTTAAAAATGTACAACTACTTTGTTTTGAGTTTAGATGCAAGTAAACTTACTGTCCTTTATTTGAAATAAATGTACGTATCTTCTATGAACAATAGTTTATAAAGTGATTTAAAACAAGAAAAAGTTTGCACCTAGGAACATACAGCCCATGCATATTCTGTTTCTTAGTTAAAAAAGAAAAGAAGAAGAAGCCTGCAGGCCACGAGGCTCATCTTTCCCCTCCACACTTCCTCAGGAGGTCATGACGGTGGTGGTCGGATTACCACTTTGCCTTTTTTGTGGGGGCTTCCTCTACTTTCTGCTAGCCTTGTGTCTGAGCTCCAGGAGGGCTGACTTCTCTCTTGTGCTTGATAGAAGGGGAAAGCTGTGCCTTTGATCTTCCTAATGGGGAAATTTACTAACTTTTTTTTTGGTAGGTAATGTTTGCTAAGTTTTGGCGATTTCTAGGAGAAACTGTGTCTGGACTGCCACGTTTGAACGTTGCACATGCAGATGGCTCGCTGTGATGCTTTCTCTGTGTCACCGATCTGGTGGTGGACCGCATGGTGGCTCCCAAGGGCTCATCCTCTTCCCCTTCTTCCTCTTCCTCATCAGACTCCTGGTCTTTTTTATCCTCAGTTGATTCAGAAACCAATTTCTGGTGTTTTCTTTCCGGCTCTGAGGATTTAGCATCATCTGACAGAGTGAGTGAGCGTTTGGCTTCCTTCTTCTCCGACGAGCACATTCTACTATTTTCTCCTCACTGTCTTCATTGCCTGCACTTCTTTCTTGGAGATTAGCTGTTTCTTTATTGGACTCATCTGCTTGTATTACTTTCAGTTTGCTGCGAGGTATAGATTGCTCCACAGAGACACTGCCAGTGTCTGTTTTGGAATCTTTTTTTTTTTTGTGGAACCGGGGAATGAACTCGGGCCCTTCCACTTGCCAGGGAAGCGCTTATTCCACTGAGCCATGTCCCCAGCCCATTCTTTTGTTTTTAATGCTGTTTTCACAAGGTAGTTATGAGGTCTTCCTCTTTTCCTTTTAATAATTATTGGCTGATCGTCCTCTTGCGATCTGATGCTGTCATCTTCATTCTGCTCTGTCTTTTCACCAGTCACCTCACTGCTGCTCAGTTTCTTTTTCCTCCATAGTCTTTGAAACAGCGCTGTTTGTCTTAGAATTTATTTTAGACAATTCTTCCAATCTCCAGAGTACTCTTCCTTGGTATTTTGTGGCTCAGTTTCAGAGCACTGTCTCCATGCTGTTTCTATTCTGGTAATTAGATTTTATTGAAGTAGCTACAGTAATACCAAGCATTACTCAGAACACAGAAAAGATGTAGCTATTATTCTGTAAAGATTTATTAGAGCTGGCCAGATAACTCAGCAGATTAAAGTGCCTGCTTAGGCAGATGTAGGAGCCAGGGTTCGATTCCCGGCATGCTTTGCAGGCCCCGCGCCTGGGGGGGGCTCACTGAGATGGCGATTGAGACTGGACATGGTGGCTCATGCCTGTAATCCCAGCACGTGGGAGTCCAGAAACAGGAGGATCACTAGGAGTCTGATCTGTGTAGGGAGACCCAGCAGACCCTGTACTAAATACAAAAAAAGAAAGAAGAAAGATTCCTTATAAGTGAAAGAAGAGAAATAGTGTATTGGTTTTTCTTTGGACATGTAAAATAGAGTTTAAAAGATAACTCCATGGTGAAGGATGGTAACTCTTGAAATTCTACTTCTCCAACTTTTAATTTGATGTTCCCCTTTCCCTTCCGGGAATTGAATCCAGGGCCTTTCCACTAAGCTACATCCCTAGTTAGTGCTTGCTTTTGTTTTGTTTTGAATTTTAAACCAGGTATCATTAAATTGCTAAGTTGGCAAAGCTGGGCTCAAACCTGGGCTCTTCCTGCCCAGCCTTGCAGAGTGCAGACTTGGTCATCTGTCTTAACCATCTCTTCTCCATCGTTAATCAGTAGTTAAATTAACTACATTATTTGACAGAGATGGCAATAGATTTTTGGTTTGGAAAAAAATGATAGATTCTGCCCTCATTTTTTTTTTTTAAACAAGTATCTTTTTTTGGTGTGTTTTTTTTTTTTTTTTGTGTTTTTTTTTTTTTTT